GAGCCAAACCAGCCGGGGCTCCTAGTAAAAACATACACTTACCCCTCAGAGGCCAGGTCTTTTATTCCTGACCGGGAATCACACCATGACCTCCTGGTTCATAGGTCGACGCTCAACCATTGAGGCACACTGGCTGGGCAAACTTATGACTATTAAAGAAGCAATGTCTTTAAAGTTAAGATTGATGATTTTGAATATATGGAAAAGAGTTTAAAATGTAATATCCAAAATACAATTTGACTTTATTCGTTGAAGGTTGACTTGTATGCCAAACACTGTTGAACGCTTAATCTAATTCTTACCACAACCCTTTGAGGCAGGTGGTAGTAATAACATTTATAAATAAGGAAGAAAGACCTAGAGAGCTTAGGTAACGTAGTAGGATTCCAACTGGGACCTCCAAACTCTAGAGCCTGAACTCCCCAAAACAATGCTACTAGAGCTTCTGCGAGTTTTTTAGAATAAGGGAAGTGGGCATGAAAACAGAGTATGAGCGAGAATTTGAATTAACTGGAGGCTAGTGTCTTAATTGCTTCCATATGTGCTACCATAACAAAAGCAGCATATGATTCTCTGCTCTGTTTGAGGCGGGGGGAGGGGGGATGTCTGCTGTTGGGACTGGCTGGAGTATCTAGATATGACTGAAAAGTGGAGTATACATGGGATTGAGAAACATAAAAAATAGGCAAGGAACCAAAGATCTTTCATAGCAACTCAGACAACTTGGAAAACATTTTCTGCTTTCCCCTTATTATACTTCAATATAGAGTTTTTACATTTATGTGTTATACTTGTTAGTTTTCTTTCTAAAATCTCTTCTCCCCCCTCCCCCCACCCCCCTGTTTTTTCTAGATTGAAACAATTGGGAAAAAGGTGTCTTCAAAGAGAATTCCATATGCTCCTTCTGGTGAAATCCCAAAGTTTAGTCTTCAGGATCCACCTAACAAGAAACCCAGAGTCTAAACATTGTCATTTTTATTTGTAATTTTTTGGTACTTCAGGATAGCAAATATCTACCTGATATTTAATGGTAAATGAACCAAGTGTTTTTAAGGAAAGAAAACTATTTTTTTAATAATCAATTTATATTAGCTCTGTGGGAATCAGCATATCTAGTAATTATGAATCTAGAATATTTTTTACATATTTTTATAATTTTGTTACCTCAGTGGTTGGATGAGTGGCAAATATGATCATGTTGGCTTTAATGGTGTTGGTTTTTGTAAAACAAAAATTAAACTTCAAACACTTTTTACTTTACAAAATACCCATAGGCAGCATTTTAATGTTGTATTATAAAGGGAAAGCACTCTTCAGTTTTTCTGATTATCGGTTTGATGACCTGTCATTAAATATGTATTTTAAATTATAAAATTGCTATGCTAATTACTGGGCAACCCGGTTAACCTTTCCGACAGTGTCGTGGAGACTTAGAGGTTCTGGCTTCGCTGGGGAAAGTGCTTTCCAGACCGTTTGTCTCGATGACAGTTTCTTAGGAGGAGGATGCAATGGGCAGAATGGGGCCTTTTGTGCTTTTTCTTTTTATTATGCTTCTAATATTTTTCCTGTGCTTCTGTGTTAGAAATAATCCTTTTGTCTAATGAGCTGTGTCATTGATTTTTAAGCCCCAAAAGGTTATCACTGCCCTAACTGGTTTGGCTCAGTGGATAGAGTGTCGGCCTGCGGACTGAAGGGTCCCAGGTTCGATTCCGGTCAAGGGCATGTACCTTGGTTGCGGGCACATCCCCAGTAGGAGGTGTG